TTGTGTTTCCCCTCTTAGTATTTCTGAATTTAATGATACTAGGCTTAGTATACTTGCAGAAGAAGCACCATTGATGCTTGGTCTGAAGTCTGATTAGTGTAATTGCCACAAAAACCCAGCAAGCTCTGGAAAATTGTAGTATTGCCCCTGAGGTTTTATTTTGTATTATATTTACACCCTTTGTAAGGTCCGACTAATCCGTTGGTCGGCTCGTGTCGCACACCTGCAGTGATGGATGCGTCTCCCAACAAGGGTTTAATGATAAGTTTTGATCTACAAAGTTCCTTTAATAATAACAATAATAATTAAAGCGTGTTAGTCCATGTTACATCAACATTGCAATAATTCAACAAAGACTCGTGATACGCAAAAAAGAAAACTTTACACACTAACCAAACATAAATATGTTCCTGTCCAAGTAGCCATCGTAATTAATTTTATGGAAAAATTAAATAATTTTTCAACTTATTCACCATATTATTAATTATTTATTAAATTCGACCGACAGAAAAAAGCATTTTTCAACTATATGTTATATAATCTTATATAATATATATTTAATTACATGATTTTAATTAATCAAAAAAGTCGTGGTGCACAAAAACGGTTCCTCCCGTGGCCACCTCATTTGCTCAGGCAATTGTACAAAAAGGCCATGTGAGCAACAACTCTATTTGATTCCATTTTTAACCTACTAATTAATAACTTTTTCTAAGCCTAAATTGTCCAATATATAATACATTAATATGGAAGATTCTACTCCCACATTGAATTCTCAACCGTTAGATTACATTTACATGCATATAAGCATGCATATTATCGTGTGTGCGTTTATTATCGATCTAATGGCTCAAACACTGTCCACATATCGGATTTTGGACCGTCAGATTTTATTAATCTAATAACAACTAAGACTCGAGTGTGCCCAATGCCTAGGCCTGCAAAATGAGCTGAGCTTAAGCCCTCAACAAGTCGAGTCGAGCTTGACCTGTGAAATGAATGAGCCAGAGATCAAGCTCGAGCTCGGTTCATTATCACTATTAACGAGTCGATTTTGAGCCAATCTTAAATTTTAACGAGCCGAACTATGAAAATTATATAAAAATTCACTTTTTGAGCCTTAACAAGTCTTTTTTCGTTAACAAAATGAGCTTTAGATAAGCCTCGAGCTCGGCTTATTAAGCCTCGAACTCGAGCCTTGACGAGCTGAAGCAAACTCATTTAATTTAACAGTACTACCAGACACACACTGACATATACGACTTTGTTCGAGAACACGAGCACAAGTAGATGGCTAGTTTGATCCTACATAGAGTTCATGTGTAATTTTAGCCGTTGGATCACATAGAGTTAAGGATACATATTTTTTGGGAAAATTCGATGTTGCCCATGTGGGCAGTGCCCACATGGGCTTTTTTAAACACACACACCCACATGGGTGTGTGTGAAATAAATGGTAAAAAAGCCCACATGGGCAGCATCAAAATTTCCTATTTTTTGATTTGGTAGTTAAAACTCCGAGATATCCGAACAACGGTTTCGCTATGGAGTCAACAGTTGGCTCCATAGTGGAGCCAACCTTCTATATACGACAAATAAACTTATCATATTCTTTGATTACTTAAATAACATTAATATAATTCTATTGATATGGTAGGTTTATCTATTGTATATAGAAGAGTAGAGCTAACTGTTGGCTTCATAGCAAAACCGACCCAAACATATAGATAGATGAAAGGTGTGTAAATGTATATGTGAGTTGAAAATTGGGGAAAGTGGAGCCCACAGCATAAGCCCAACTGACCTGTTAAAGTGTGTACCAACTTAGGGAATCCAACCCCATCAGCCCATCTATTAACTACTTTGTCTTTCTCACCAACTTGTCAATTTACATCCCAACCGTCGGGCACAATTTCTTTATTTATTTTTCTTTTTTTTTATTAAAGATTTTTCTTTTTTTGAATGTAATTTTATTTTAAAATTTAATTATTAATAAAAACAATATTTTCTTATAATTTTTTTTTTTTTTTGTAAATAATATTTTCTTATAATTATATAAAAGAAATATTTCAATACACATAATCACTCATCCATGAAATTAAACTCCTCTTTCTCCTCTGGAAAGATGTGCTTTACCACTTTAACTATAATCGATTCACAAATTTTCAAATTTAATTGCTCTTAAATTAATTCTTTTTTTTTTTAATTCTAAAAAATAACAATTCATATCATATTCTACTTGATAGGTGAGGGGAAGTAATCAATTCTTCCCTTTCATCCTTAAATTGTGCATTGACAAATAAAAAATTAGAATCTGAGTAGCTACTTTTTTCCTTATATTGTGTGATCATATATATATATATGGATGACACGACTTATGGAGCCATCCATACTTGTTCACAAATAGTGTATTTACATGTGTCCTACAATAAATATATTTTAGACAAATGTCAATATATTAAGTGACGGATGCCTCCATAAGAAAAATCATGTGATGGCTCCATAGAATTTTTGTATACACATATATGTGTGTTGACAAATATATGATTATTAGACTGATTAATAGTTAAACAATTATAATCTTGTAATAGATTTATATACTTTCATAAATATCATACTGTAAAAAAATAATGTAACCATAAATATATATATTTATCAAAAAAAATATATAGTTAACTAATGTAACTATTAAACAATTCAACAACATTTGTAATCAATTGAGTATTATTATATATTAAAGACTCAGTCTACACTACAATATATATTTGATTTAGAAAAAAAAATATATATATATATTTCATCTCATTATACTATTATCAAAATAAAAAATTCAGATTTAGACCCCACATAATTTGGTAAATAAAATGTCTATTCTAATTCATAATATACTTTAATTTAATTTCCACACAAAATTTTGCAAAATTATTTTTGAAATAATAATAATTTTCCACCTTTTAATAATACAGTAAGTAGTTTCTACTTTCTTCCAAGTCTCACCATCCCCATTATAATAAAGTGTAGGCCCCACCCTAACCCCCCTAAAAAGCTCACAATATATATCTCAACAATCTTCACAATTTGTTCTCGAAAAGTTACTTTTCCGGCCAAAAAAAAAGAAAAAAAAAAATCAATTCAGAAAGTCGCTAGTGTCTGAAAACACGCTTTTAGGCTATGGGGCGATCGCCTTGCTGCGAGAAAGCGCACACCAACAAAGGCGCTTGGACTAAAGAGGAAGACCAACGCCTCATCAATTACATCCGTGCCCACGGAGAAGGCTGCTGGCGTTCCCTCCCCAAAGCCGCTGGTACAATCACTTTATGCATGCCCAATAAATATATATAATCTTAATTAATTAATTAATTTATTATTATTATTTTTATTTTATGTGAATTAATTTAGGATTGCTTCGATGTGGGAAAAGCTGCAGGCTGAGGTGGATAAATTATCTGAGGCCTGACCTCAAAAGGGGCAATTTTACTGAAGATGAAGATGAGATTATTATCAAACTCCATAGCCTTCTTGGGAATAAGTATGTTTGCAACAATAATCATAATATTGCCATTAAAAATTGAATTCTTGCCATAATTATTTGGATAGTAATAATTCACAAGTCTTGAAAATACACATTGCCCAAGCCGGTTTTGCTGTGAAGCCAACATAGTAGAATCAACCATAGTCGACAAGTAAAAAATATATATTGTGGTAATCAATCTGGTAAACAAAATCAACAATTTAGATTTTGCCAAAATAAGATTGATTCAGTTGGTCCAGATTGATTTACCAAAAAAATCCACAAGTCAAACATCTATTGCTTTTATTCATTATAATAAAATCAATATTAATAAGTCAGCTGGTATATCAGTAGATTAAATGAATTATCAAGAACCTTTTTTTTTTTTTATTATTATAGTATTTCATTTATAATGAATTAATTAATGTTTTGTAGATGGTCCTTGATAGCTGGGAGGCTGCCCGGAAGAACCGATAACGAGATCAAGAACTACTGGAACACGCACATCAAACGCAAACTTATCGGCCGTGGCATAGACCCAAAGACCCACCGCCCGCTCCAATCCGGTGCCGTCACCTGTCTCGACTTCAAGTGCTCGACCGAGAAAGAAAACAGCTCTGTCTCAGCCGACACCGCCAAATGCAGCAACAACAGCAGCAGCACAACCGAAGAGTCCCAGCCACCCGAGCATGAGGGCTCTGCCAATGGGCTCGACTTGGAGTTGTCTATTGGGCTTAATCCTTCTCGGCCCAAGTGCGCGAAAAGAGCTTCTTTTGACCCACCGTCATTTTGGGCCGAGACCGAGTTGAAGCCCGCGGCTGAGGTGGAGGCGCCACCTCACCGGCGGATGTGTTTGTGTTGGCAGTTGGGTTTTCAGAAGGGTCAGTTGTGTAGCAATTGCCAGTGTTACAATGGGTTATCTAGCTTTTGTTGACAATATATATTTATATATATATATGCATCATAAATGATAATTTGTTGTACAATTTTTGGTTTTAGAGATATCAAGCTTATATATTAATAATCATTATTTATTTATTTTTTGCTACTCTTTTGGTTATATGTCTTCTAGTTTTTGGAAGTTAACCCAGATAGGGCTGCAAACGAGTCGAGCCGCTCGCGAGCGCTCGAGTCAAAGCTCGACTCGAACTCGAGTTTGACCGATCTCGAGTCGAGCTCGAGCGGCTCGAGCACGAACTCGAGTCGAGCTCGAGCCCATATATTGCATTGTCGAGCGGCTCGCGAGCGGATCGAGATATGTGAAATTACTAAAATACCCTTGTATATATATGTAATTAATGGTTATTTTACAAAATTTCTTGAAAAAATTCGAGCCGAACTCGAGCATTATGAATTCGAGTCGAGCTCGAGCTCTTGTATGTTTTGATCGAGTCGAGCTCGAGCTCGAGCTCGAGCACCTCAAAAAAAAAATTAAATCCGCTCGATAAGGCCAATGCTCGACTCGGCTCGGCTCGTTTGCAGCCCTAAACCGAGATTTTGTTACTCACAAGTCACAAATGCTACATTAGGCTAACTTTAGACATTGGCATTTAAAAAAAAAAAATTAAGCATACTTATCATATTTTTCTTTATATTGTATTTTAGAATAAAACATTTGAGTACATATATATTGAAATAATATAATAGTTTAATTATTAGATGAAGAAATTGTAGTGATTTTATTGTAACAAGAAATTACAATAAAATAAGAAAATGCATGGCAAAGTAAATTAATTCGCATCATATGTACACGTATCGATTCAAGAGGTTCAAGTTTTATAAGAGTAAACGACACCAAATAATGTACAAAAAATATGAGAAAACTCGAGTTGTAAGTTATCACAAGTTTCAAATTCTAATGCACAAAATAATTCATGCATGGTATATATGAATGTAAATTAACTAGCCGGGCTCAAACTATTGACTCGATAAATACTTAAACTCGAGCTCGACTAATTTATCAAAATAAGTTGATCAAATCTTGAATTGAGTTGAAGTAAAAAAAAAATTAAAAAATCATGTAAAAATTCTTATTTTCGCGTCTTAATCATTTTGTCCCGAAGTTGGGATGAAGTTTTCTTTGTGTAAAAATTGAGTTGGAGACCCTCTTATGGTGCGCTTCATTTGGTGGGACCACACTCCCTTCCCTTGATTCTAATATGGTTATCAGAGCGGACCTGTCCTAGGACCTGTAATAACTCTCTCTAACCGGCCTGCTATGTGAGCTTGGTCTTACGAATGACTCACGGTTGCAACATCACTTGTGAGTTGTCTCATATTGAGTCTATAGGAAAAATGAGTCTAGTATATAAGCCTAGTGGTTTTGAGATGGAATCTCACTAAGGTACACCTAGACTCATTCTTTTATGGTATGCTTCATCTGGTGGGACCGCACCTTCTTCCCTCGGTTCTAATAGCTGTATGTTTACTGTCGGCTTAATTTCAAATTTAAATATCCATTATGGCTAATCTTGATGCAAGAAAAAAGAAATTAATCAAATGAATTGGAGTACATAATAATCTGTCATTATTTTATTACCAAAGAAAAAGTCAATGCAGGTTTATATAATCAAAAGATAATCAATGAAAGCTGCTTCCATATTTGGTGTCACACGATTAAGTACTGTGGACTTTGGAGTTCTCTTCTATTATTTGATTGCGGACTTGTAAAGTTTATTTATTTATTTATTTATTTATTTATTTTTTATTCTGATTATTATTAATGTTTTGTTTAAGTAATTGACCTCTAATTATATAAAATAATGATAAATTCCGTGAGCATTAGAATCACGCAAGTTTCAATTTCTTGACAAAAATAATCACATGCTCTAATTACAGGCGCATTATTAAATAATTAAAATTTAAACATTTGAATTCCATTTCTGATAGCTGAAGAATTTTCTTACATTTCTAATAGATAACATAGTATCGATCCGGTTCGGTCAAGCAAAGACCCCTAGAAACCGGGTCGAAGGAGCTTTAAGGTCGACCGAGTGTAGACGGTCGAGCCATGCAGGGGCTTCGACCCATCGACCTAATGGTCATGGCGAGGTGGGTCGAGCCATGTAGGGGCTTCGACCCATCGACCTCACAATCGATGTGCTTGGTCATGGCGAAGTGGGCCGACCATGACGGAGCATCTACTCTTGAAATCGATGGCCGATGCATGCGAAGGGAGCGAAGCGGGTCGATTAGGTCGACCCGTTTAAGTCAAAGCGTTGACTTATGAGTGAGCACTATATAAAGGGTAAACCGAGAAGAAAGCAGGTAAGATCTAATATCATATTGTTACATCCAATACACATGCACATTTTATTCTTCTATTCCAAGATATTGACTTGGACATCAGAGGGTTCTGCACCGGAGCAATTTCGTGTTTTGCAGGTACCGGCGAACTCACAAGCTTGGACCGGACCGAACCGAATCAGCCAATCCATAACTCAAATTGGGGAGGACCCTTAATTTGAAGAACCGGAATCTCTTATCTTGGACCATATCAATTTATGATAAAAATGGGTTCTTTTGCTGTTGTTTTTGGGAAAACAATGCTTAAATCAAAGATTTGATTTCATAAAAAAATGTGACACCAAATCTAAACGTAATTTACCGTACATATGAGACAGTAAAACATTATATTATACCAACAGTTAACAACCCAAATCTTATCATAGGTTAAACTAAAAATGTTTTCATTTAGCAATACAAGATTTTTGGAATATATTGACTTAGCATAAAATCTATGCTTTTATCATAAAAATCCTATATACGCTGACAACTTTTGACCTACACCAATGGTAATCCAATGGGAATTTGTTACCAATTTGCTGGTCGGTCCAAGAAAATCCTCCCTATATATAATATTTGAATACGCTGAGCTTACGTGGCTGCTTCTGATGCTCCGGAGTTCTACTTGGCGAATAATCATGCTTCGTAATTAGGTTTGGACAAATAATATTTATATATTAATAATTAATAATTTAGGTTCGGACATTCCATAAATATTATTTATCTAACTTATGTATTTTAATATGACTTGTACTAATATAATCTTTTAATTATTTGAAATCTTACATAGTGAGACACTAAGTGACTAATATATCCCTGACTTTGATTTGTTTCCTTCAATTAGCTATTGAATTATAAATGTATTTTAAAAGTTTATAACTTTTGTATTTCTTATCCGTTTTACATATATTATATATCAAATTAATCATCATTTGATGATTTTTGATTTGACATCCATATTGTATATATGAAATAAATAAATTATATTTATCTTTATAATAATAAAAATAATAATATTTATTAAAATTCATTAAAAAAATAAAATTTTTTATCACTTGATATATTTATTTTTAATTTAGTTATATGTTGTAAGTTAAAAAATTATTATAATATAACACAGGTAAGTCGCACAAATAAAATGCGTCATACTAAATATATAATAATATATATATTTTTGTCAAATGTATTTAAAATTTCAATTACTTTTTTCTCATTAATTTTAGATTTTAAGAAAAAATAAATTAGCAAACACCCGTGTAATACACGGGTGTTGTACTAGTAAATAAATAAACAACAAAAAATTGAAAATTGTCCCCAATATTGACTTTCAAAAGTTGGACTGAGTTAGGTACAATTTACTGTCACAGTTGGATATTTTACACTGATTAATAATTAAAATATAATAAGTTGGCACTGGGTTAGGTACAATTTACTGTCCAATTGGATAGCTAATTAGATGGATTAATCAAGATATAATTAAACTAAATTAACTAATAAGTATTCTTTAATCATGTTTTCGAAGAACTCACGAATCATCTTTAATCATGTATTCTTTAATCATTTTTTTATTAGGGGTAAGGAAAAAAAAAGCAGCAATTAATAATTGAAAAATAAAAAACTATGAAATTGCACATGATATTAGTTGTACTTATAAGGTATCGATAAAATAATAATTATTGAATTTTTGGAATCTAGTTCTTGTGCCATATGTTCCACATAAAATGGCGTATATTCCTCCACCTAACTATATGAATAAGATTTGTTGTCCAACTAAGGTACGAGGTAATATGTCTATCAGCTGATATGGTAGAAGATTAACATATAATGATAAATATTTTATTCAAAAATTATGAGATTTTAACATGTGGTTATGTAATAGACATCTTAATTTACCCACGGTGGGTGGGTATGTGGTATGTAAAGCGTTTTCAGTCATATATGATTTATTATTCTTCACAATAATTTATTTTGTGTCTCAACTAATCTATATATTAATCTAAATCGTTGCTTCAAAACGAGTTGAATCGACTGTTTCAGCAATTTTGTCAGGGCGTGATCACAAAATCGAAATATGGTATCTCTTCGGTTGATTGATCGACCATGTTACATGTTCGTCACAGGATATATAAATGGTGTTTGATATTATTTAAAAATTTGATATACAAAGTACCATTTTCTTGAGGCAATAATAGTACTCATAATGTATGAAAAATTAGTTATTTAACTAATCAATTACTATTGTAGCTAATCTACTCTTTGAGTCACGAAGTGATCATGATTCATGAAAGAGGCATCCGCGTGTTTGGATTGTAGTTCAACTAACTTTTGATTAGTACTTGCAAAATGTAATAAAATAGAAAGAATGGGTCGAATTAGTAATTAATAAAAATGTTTGGTTGGTAAGGCTGAGCATGGGACTCGGAGAATTCTGAACCGTTCCGAAAACCGAACCGAAATCACTCCGAACCGAAAAATAACCGTTGACCGTTTGACTTTCTCCGAACCGAACCGAACCGAACCGAAAAAATAATTGGTACGGTTCTGGATATTTCACAAATATCCGTACCGAGAACCGAACTGAACCGGCCCGTACCGTACCGAACCGAAGAACCGAAATTAAGAACCGAATTATAACATTAGATGTGTTATTATTATATTTTATGTCACCTTTAATTCTATATAATATACTAATAATAACTATTAACCTTCACTTAACTTTCATGCTTAGTAATACTTAAATAACAATTGAATTTTTCTACTGTAAAATGATTATTTAAAATAATATGAAAGGTTAAAGAATATTTTTTTAGAAAAAATATTATATTTTGTTTGAATTTTAAATTTTGAATATTAGTTGCACAAATTTAGTCTTAACTAAAAATTAGAGTTACTTATAAAGTTGATTTCAGAATAAATTTTTTAATATGATGAAGTATTGATGAATGTTGATTTTATTAAATCATATAAAAATTAAATAACTAAAATTTAGAGTTATTTCTAAAATTGATTTCAAAATAAAATCTTCAATATGATGAATTATAGATGAATGTTGTTTTTTAAAACATATAAAAATTAAATATAACTAGGTAGTCATTCAAAAAAAATTTAAAAAGTAAGAATCTCCGAAGATCCGAACCAAATCATACTGAACCGAACCCGAATACCGAACCGAACCGAACCGAAAAAATAAAAATCTCCGAACCGAACCGAACCGACTTTTTGGTACAGTTCCGGAGATCGATTTTTGGGATCTCCGAACTTTGATACGGTTTCGGAGATTTATTAATCTCCGAACCGTACCAACCCACGCTCACCCCTATTGGTTAGTCAAAGGTTACGAGGGGCGGTGATGTGGGGATCTTAAAATTGGAAAATAATTATAATATACAAAATGAACTTTAGACCACCCACCAAATCCGTTATCCAATCATAATTCGACCATTAATAAATTTTAAGTGTGTATATTTATTCTTTTTTTTTTTTTTTGGTACAAGGACCTTCCGATTTTCGAATCCACATGGGAACCGACTAATTCAGAATCAAGCCGGGTAGGACCACAAGGGTGGCAAATTAGCATATAATGTAGAGTAAGATTATAATAACTATTTAAATTAGTATTAACTGTTTTGATTAGAGCATAGTAATCATTGTTTTAGATATGTACTGTAATTTTGACTAGCTAGTTCATGGTATTGACAAAACTTTCGCGTACATCAAACCCTTGCATTCAACCGGGACTTTCTCAGTTCAACAACAGCATCGAGTTAAGGAGAGCAAAGTGAGACTCTACAAACGAAGCAAAGTGAAATCTCCACCAATGTGTAGCTGCCGTTAAAAGGCTATAAGTAACGTAACGAACGAAGCGAAGTGGCGTCATTTCTATTATTCCCTTCCTTCATTTACGCAAATAAAGCAGATGCGCCGAGGAACGAACGAAGCGAAACGAAGTTCAATCAAAAATATTGACGAAGTTCAGTCAAAGAGCTCAAAAGGAGAGAGGAAATTGACGACCATAGTACGAGGAGGGGGTAATTGAGAAAGATCTTAAGAGTAAGAGTGGCGTCGTGAAAAGGATTCTTTGTCCTTTGAGGCTTGGTTGTTGGAAGGGGAATATGTCCACAAAAATAGTTGTTTCGTTTCGAGATATATTTGGTATATTATAGTTTTTAAACCCATCGACCCGGACAAGTTTCCAGGTCACTAGTTCAACCGTTGGGTCACCCGGTCAATTGTTGAACCGGATATATAATTAATTTTAAATTTTTAAAATTATATATATAGTATTTTTGACTTATAAATATACATGAAAGTAACATAAATAAATATTTTGTATATAAAATTTGTACATCAAAGTATTAAAAGAATTGTATCTCACAATAAATATTTACTATATCTATATATTTACATAGTTTTTTTTTGTATAAAAAATATTTAAAAAATAAAAAAAAATATATAGGGACCGGGTCAACTGGGTTGACTCGGCCGCTTCTATGATCCGGGTCGAGTGGGTCAAGATTGGGTTGCCCGAGTTTTGACCGGGTCCATTATTACCCGTTCCAAATAGCCCACTCGGACTGGTTCCAGCTCCGGGTTGACCCACTGAGCCTGTCTGGATTGAATAAAAATGGGTATTATTAATTTAATTTTTATATTTATATAAAAAAGTTATTTTTAACCTCTCAAAATATTTATTTTTACTTTTGACCACGAATTTGAACAAGCTAGGTGATAGAGAATATAGTCACACATAGATTTTTATAGGTCGAATTGGACGAGATAGAGCAAAAACCGAAAAAGGGCTAGGATCGATCCCACATATGAAGACCAATCCCGTGCCAAACCGGCTAAGGATTGATCCCATACCCAGTATCGAACAATTTTACATCGAGCTGCCAAGGGGCATAGCCAGGAAATTTTTTAACTTGGGGCTACATATTATTGTAG